CTTGAATCGTGAGGAGCTTAGTCGATACGTCAGCCTCGAAAGCTGCGATTATCTGATCGATTTCGATAACGGTGACCCGTCGAGCTTAGAACCACAATACAGTTTGGACACAAAGTCTTGGAAACTGTTAAGTGATCAAAAGTTTCTGATCAGCAACAAGTCTAGTCAGTTTTTCCGCTCATTTTATGTGCCATGGTTGAGCGATGATTACTGCGTATTCGGGTCTTACGTGTTCTTGGAACGCATTTCTTTCTCGTCGTCGAAACACCCCCCTCGGGGAAGCTAGTTTCGATCACGTCATGTTCCTGGAAGTACAAAAGTTTATAAAGTATGTGTTAATGCGCCGCACACATTCTTCGTGAGTGTCAAGGACGTTTCGTATCGCATTTGTGCATACAAATGTATTTTTGTAATGTAATTTTTGATTAAACATGCAAATGCGGCTTTTGTATTTTGCCAATCAGTATTCTAATGCACTGACTAACAACGCTTGGTGTGAATGTTACGGGCATATAGAAGGTCAATGTAAATTGAAGCGTTTTGGTCATTGTTTTAGGGTCAGGTTATGTTTGTTTTTAACTGTTACATTTAAAACTTTCATGGAAACGATACATCAAAATTAACGAAAAAGTGAGACATTGATTTATGTAAAGTAGCGTAATTGTGACTTGGAGGAAACCAGTTTAGCGTAAGAGAAAACCCTTCTCATCGAATCCGCAGAGTAACTGCTGAGATTCGAATTGCGATTTTCGAATTAGGGCGTCGTTTATTACTTATGCAGATTTTCAAAGAAATGACTGGTATCTTATTCTAAATTGCTTCGATGTGGCTTAGAGACTGAGATTATGTAAACGTGGAAAAGGTAATGAAACGTGTATTATATAGGCAGTTCTAAAATTGAATGTAACTGCACAACCGCATGAAATCACCTTTATTATGCTGCTTTGTGATTTGCAATGCTATCTCTGAATGTGAATATAGCAAAGCTGATTCTGACATGACAAAACCCTGTAGTCATCTCCTTTAATAGCGGGCGATGCGGTTCAACCAACATTCTGACTCCGGTCACGCAGGTATAACCACACGATACATCATTTCCTAATGCCTCCTCCGGCAGTCCCGGATTTAACTGGTTCATAATGATAACATGTTTACTTTTTGAAAATCAAGATATTCATTAATCATGTGCGAATCATAACGAGTATTAAATCAATCACCTTTTGTACTTGTAGCCGCAGATTCGGTAAATACCAGTAGGTATTTTCGTTTTTCTTTTTCCGCTGATGAAAACTGCCTTCAGTAGATAGTGATTTTCAACTTTAGAGCAGTGTCAGCCTCTTTTGAAGAAAAAGATGCACGCTTATTCAAGAAGAATACCAAAACAATAGAGAAATTCGGGAAAAGAGAAAACACTTGAATTTGTTGCTTAATTGGCGTTGTTGCTATTATAGTAAGGATTATAGTACATACTGAGAGGAGTACGGAATTCCGATGAGCTCGCTCGTGTGTCTAAGCTAGTGAAGATTTATATGAATATTGTTGAAGTTGGGACTTTTAATGAATGCCCTCTCGATATTGCCAATCTTTATATTTACGTTAACTTTATTTTTGCCTCACCTATAAATGAAAATAATCTTGCAAATAAAATTTAAATTTATGATCAGGATCACAAGTGTAAGATTTAATTCATAACAGAACAGGGAAAAATTATCAGTTGCTTTTAAAATGTTTAAGTTTTGCTTTGTCCGTCAGCGTCTCAGTGATATTTAAATCCTTCGTTTATTGCACCACCAATTCAAGATGATGAATTGCATGAGGCGTACGGCTACGAAACGTTGCAGGAAAAATTAACGAATGATATGTTATCTTGAGAATATAAAATGAAGCATTATATATTTCGGAAAAACGGTTACACCATAGAGCTATATGACCCTGTATTGATACATTCTAAGTTATAGGCCAAACAGCAATGCAGAATACAAATACCCTTGACAATTCCATTCAATTCTGAGTGTAGCAGAGAAAATTCGCCGTTTTTTCGAAGAGAATGGATTTAATGCTTTTTGAGTAAATATAATACCGCAGGTTTTTTGTTTTATAAGAATTTTAGCACTCTCTTCAGAAGAGGCTAACACCGTACTATGTAAGATATATGTACTGTAATATATTCTGTAATGCTAATAATATTGGGATAATGACATTTAGGGCTCTTAAAATGAGGGTAGCGAAGTACCTCAAAGCCTTCGCGAACAACTACTACTCTACTCATTAATTCTGAGCTATATATTAGATCAGAATCATTCAGTAAATGTTGTCAACGTTACCAAATTGGCTTTCTTGATCCTGACCATCCACGTGGTGCAAAGGGCACTATTTTATTTTCATTTCTTGATACAGTCCGAGTCATACCAGGATCATCTGTTTATCGGGCGCATGAGTCTTTATTGTTCAAAGAATAGGCTGTACGATGAAAACACTCCAGCATGCTTGCCTGGGGATTAATATACATTTCTAAAAGATGCTTTCCAAATTTTAAATCGCTTTTAAGATTTAACTCTAATGAGGCATGCGAATGTACGTATATCAGCATGTCAATTCAGAAATAATATTAAATCGTAAAACTTGTGCCCCGGGGCTTGTGCAAGTCATTTTATTAATCCGTCGGCGTAGGCCCAAACGTCAAACGCTATTCATCACAAAATGACGTGCTGATGAAGACATTTGGTCGTGCATGTGATTAACGACATTCACTGATTTCATACACCTACTGAAATTCAGATGTACCAGAAACGAACAGTTGTCATTTTTGATTGCTGCGTAAACAGCACAGCGACTGATTACAGAAATGGAAGAGGCTGGACAAGAAACGTCATTGAATGAGTCAAAGAAGCGAAGGTAATGTCACACGACTTGTATCATATCGCTTTTTTATCTGATAATGAATAACTTTTCAAAGATCAGATTTCACGACGATGCACCGCCCCCTTGCTCCTAGTTGCCTAGGGAGGGGGTGGTGGTGGGAACATTTAAGAAGGCCACAGATCATTGGTATTTGAACACCTACAGGTCTTTGAGGAATCATTCGTTATCTGACGTACTTTGACCTACT